GAGAGCGAGAGAGAGAGAGAGACCAGGTCAAAGGGAAGCAGATCTGTCTTTAAACAGAGGTATTAACCATGACCCTTCTCCTTCCTGAGTCCTGCCCTGTGTCTGCCGAGGGCCAACGCATTAACAGCAGTAAAACACACACTGATGCTCTATCTTTCTTCCCAAAGCAAAACATTTGGCCGTTGTTATAATTGTTTCTGATAATTCATTCAACAATTGGCAGGGTGTGAATCATTTTCAGAGGAAAGCCTCTCCCTGTCCCGCTTTTGTGTGGGCTCTAAATCTGTTCATATTACCCATCAGTCTCAGTGCCAGCAGCAGTTACGCGAAGATGATATTGTTTAAATCAACAAGGCCCTTGAGAAAATGATTCCTGTTACAATAGGGCCATCGGAAATGCATGTGTAATTGCCGCCTAGTAGCCCTGTGAGAATTCTTCATCAATAGATCTGTATCTTGAAAGTGCAGCCAAGCACGGATTAGGTGAAGACTGTCATTCCTGTGTTGCTCACTGAAGCTCAGCCCCACCCTCAACGCATTCCTCCCGGCTGAAAACTCTGCAGCGACATAAAGGACAACAGGAAATTACCTGTTTCCACTGGCATTAATAAGGCCTATTTAAATCTGCTCCTTAATGCTTTGTTAAGTTGTAGAAACTGGTGCTGATGATTGTTTGTAGAGGCAGAGGAACGTGTTCTTCTGCACTACTGTCTGGCTCCTGTCATTCCCTCTGTCTGCTTTATGAGCCTATTCACGGGGAGGCACGCTAATAAAACACAACTCAAAATGTTTACATACTTGAGAATTATATATCTATGCTTGATAGCTCACTCTATTGCTGGGATCTGGGAATGTGGTGACATCTGATAGGCATAGAAGCACGAGAATTTAGACAGTCACACAGGTTGTAAACTAACCCCAAAGTTAGCCAAATGTGTTTAAAAGAGCAAATAAAGGCAAACAAAGGAAGGATTACCACCCAGATTGTCTGTTGCAAACATCCTGGTTCACATTTGAACTAGCGCACTTGCCATAGCTGTCTGCACACAATTTTTTTTTTTATGTATTAAGGGATAATATTACAATGAGATAATATGGCTAAAATGTTGACTCGTTTTGTAACCTCTGTGGTTGTCTGACTACTTGTTTCTTTCCCCCTTACACTTTGCCGTAGCAATGTTGCCATGCTCCCAGATTTCAGCAATTAACTTATAGTATAATTATAATTAGTTTAAGTAGTAGTAGTTTAAGTATAATTGTATTATAACTGAGAAAAATAATGGTCAAAACACATGGAAATAACACAGAATCTTTAACAAACCATAATTATTCTTTAAGTGAGGACAAGGGGAACTCCTGTCAGATGAAAGCCAAATGACATTCCAGAAAATTAACATTCAGCTTCACTTACGGATGAGTCATTAAAATCATCCTGGCTTGTGTCACTCACTCTATTCAGTGCCTTGCTTGTTCTCTATGGAAATTTACATCAGCGTGACATCACAGACTGGGTGCAGATATAGACAAAATCTTATCTAGTCATGGTAGACCGCAATGACTAAAGCAACTATTCACCTGCACAATGTGAATAATCAGAGCACATACAAAGTGGCATACCTTGGAGCCACAATGCAATACCATGACCATTTATGTTATAGTTTTGGTCATCTAAGTCTTGAATAGCAAATATTCCTTGTGTAAATGAAAATAATTCAACGGAATGGTGCCCTGGTAAATTACAGTCGGACAGTCAAAAGATGTGTTATTCCTCCCTCACAGAAACCTGTTGTGTCAACCACTTAGAACAGCTTGAAGTGTTGTTTTGATATAAGAGATAAATGAGGTTTGGGCTGGTGCCAGATGACACAAGGTGATCTTCTGTGCCAAAAGCAGATTGTTGTGGGAAAAGAGAAGTTGAAGTGCCTATTTTACATTGACGCCACGGCCTCTTTAATGTCGTAATACTGTAGTGATAATATTATAGGCCTAGATAGACAGGACACTCCCTTGCTGTACTTGCAAGAATTGTGTACATGAGCACATAGTTTGTAGTCTCCAAGTGATATGACTGAATACGTGGCAGACATATATCTATTTTTTGGCCACATAGAGAACTTCTTTTATGTGTTTATATGTAGAACATCAGTCAGGGCCTTGTCCTTGGTAAGTAATCAGTTAATCAGGACTGAGCCAAAGCACCAGTCGCCTCATTTAGGAATTATGTTTTTATTTTTCTATGGAGTGTGGCTGTTGTGTATATTCATTGGGATGAGGGTGCAGTCTTTTGAGTAAGGCATGATTAATGTGTGCTGTCTTCTACAGCCCGGCTGGATGGTGCAACATCTCCATGGTCTATTGACCTTCTCTGACTCATGCAGCACATAGTAGAACAGAGTAGGCTTTCGCATGACTCTTTACACACATAACCATCTGGTAAAATCTGTAAGAAAAAAAAAAAAAGTAAAGTAAACTCAATTTGTTGTCTTCATTTCTTTGCATGAATGGGTATTACATATCGCTTTCCACACACACACTTTTTAATAAGCATACAGTAAGTTAATGCTGTTTGTGTCCAACCTGACTGCTTCTTAATCTATTGCTTTAGTACTGTTTTAAAAAAGTCCCAAATACACACAGACATGATCTCTATAAGATTACTAAAGGTCCATAAACGTCATATGTGAGAATGTGTTCTTGCAGGTGTTATGTTGAGTTCCCTGATCAATAAAGATGTCCCATAAATAAAATAAATGCCTACTAAAAATGTCAGAGTCTCGGTCACGCTACTCGCACGCTGAGGTAAGCTACTTTCTCTCTTTGGGTTTGTATAAATTCAGGATTCCTTTCTGCTCTGTCTGGTTGCTTAAAATGGACTGTTCCTGGCAGTCATTAAGGAGGGGAAAAGCAACAGATCATCCTATGGGCTCTTGTGGAACCCAGTTAGGAGTCCGTACTGCGAAAGTGAATCACTACCTAATTTAGTACAATTACACTAATACGTTCTGTAAATAATTAATAACGTACAGCTACATTCTTTCATTCCCACTGAAGTTAATTCCAGTGTTAATGGAAAATGACAAATTTATTTAATTGCACTGATGAATAAAAAGCATACAGTTTTTGTTTAGTGTGCTTAATTGTAAGATACCGTGCAGATTACCCACTAAATGCCACTTTTGTAATGGAATGGAATTACTGGGGTGGAGAGGGGGATTAAATCTTAAATTTCCGTTGCAACACCCTCCCCGGCATTGTTTATATTTTATTAGAAACCTGCCCATAACTTAAACCAGCAATAACTTCCTCCTGTATCACAAAATGTAGCAGTGTGTTGGTACAACTTGTCCCACTATTAAAAGTCCAGTGTGTAACATTTAGGAGGATCTGTTGGTAGAATTAGAAAATAATATTCATAGATATATTTTCATTAGTGTATAGTCACACAGTCTGAATATATCATTAGGTTTTGTTAATTTAGAATGATTCATTTATCTACAGATGCCACAGGTTGCCTTCCATGGAGTCTGCCATGTTTAACCACCATGTTTCTATAGTAGCCCAAAAGGGATCAACCAAACAGTGGCTCTAGATTAGCTTGTGGCGTTTGTAGTGCGTTTTGCAGCCACCATAGTTTCTTAGCGGTTGTAAGTGGAGGGTGAAGCGAGGTAGTTGCAATCTGCAATTACACTGCTAACTGCCACTAAATCGCACACACTGGACCTTTTATGAATCTGAAGGGAAACCATAAAGAATTTAAGACGGAGTAATCAAACCTGATATTTATGGAATAAAATGATTAGAGGCAGAATAAGTGATCCCCAAATTTATGGCAAACATAACTTTCTTTTTGTTATGATGCAGAAGAAAGTGAAGGAGGAAATTACATTTGGCAGATAATATTAAGTGTGCTAAATGCCTGAAACAGAGACAAGATCATTGTCTTCTGTATAGGCTACAGCAAAACACACCTTTATGGAGCACTGCCACACTAGATGACCATCATTTGCGACTTATTTGATTCCTTTTTGTTTTAAATAATCCTGCAAGGGAATGTGAAAATATAAAATCTGGTTGTTAAAATATAAAAAGACCCTTGTCTGCTCCCCCAAGTCAGACTACCCTCGCCTTAGTAAACAAAAGAAATAAACAAACCTCCCATTTTTCTGCACAGTCATGTAGAAGTTTTGTCTTAAAAAGATACATATATTATTAAATAAAATAGAAGATAAGATTAAGAGAAAACTACACAGCAGATCAGCAGAACAGTTTTTGTCAACATTATCCTTTAAAATATATTTTCTTCTTGTAAATCATCGCAAAATAATAACCACACCCAAATCTTGGTCTTAAATTCCAAAGATTTCTAACTTTAAAATGGTTTATTATTATTATTTTTACTTTCCTCTCTAAATGTTGAGAGACATTTGCATTCTATGAACTCTAACTAGCAGGCCAAGTTCTGATATTGTTTTGCATTAAAAAGAAAAAGCATGCTAAACTGCCTTAGTTAAAAAAAATAAAAAAAAACATAATAAAAACAAAACTCTACAAACTCAGTCAGTTTGACAGAGAAGATCCACTGACTGTACAGACAGCTAACACCTTGGGTTGAAGGAGACACTTGTTCAAGAGTCATGTATTCTCTGGAGTAAATAGAGGGCTTCAGAGCATCCCTCCACATGACATGCTGTTCATGGTCCAGGGCTGGCAGCAGTAGTGCAGGTAGGGGTACTGGTAGGCCTGGTACAGTGGCACAGACACTGGGATGTGTACTCCATTCGCCTGATGGTACGGACTGTCCCTCACCAGCACTTTCACTGCTACTTTCTTTGGCGAGCTGCACGCCGCCAGCTCGACCGCCATCTGGCGCCGTTTGGTTTTATATCTCCGGTTCTGGAACCAGATTTTCACCTGGGTCTCTGTGAGTTTCAGAGCTTCCGCCAGATCGGCCCGTTCAGGTCCTGAAAGGTACCGCTGCACGTTGAAGCGGCGCTCCAGCTCGTAGACCTGTGCGTGAGAGAAGGCCGCCCTGGAGCGCTTCTTGGTACCGGGCCTGCACTGCCGCTCCTCGGGTGAACAGCTGACCGTCTCCCCGCTGTGGTGATATTCCTCCTCCATATCCTCCTCTGCCTCCTTCTTCTGCCATCTACCCCGCTCCTCGCTGTGTGGTTGCTGGTCTGCGGCGCCTAGGAAAGATAAAGTATGTCAAAAAGGGTTTTCTCTGTCAATGTAGTCAAAAAGCTGTTGGAGCTGCTGACTGGGAGGTCACTTGAACAAGGAGCTGATGCTGGCCAGTATGAGGTTTTCAACCCTACATCCTTTCAAAAAGTCAGGTGATATAATGAAATAAATAAGGCTTTTAGATGAGCTCAGGCGAACATGTTTACAGTCAAAACTACACAACACACCTTGTGGTTTAATGTTTCGGTTTTCCAGCACTGCCCCATAGCTGAATACTTTTCTCAAACTATAAAGTCTGATTGAGAGGGGGGAAAATTATTATTGTGAAATTAAATGACATCTTCGTGACACACAGATGTCACTGGCCTTCAGGCTTACAGATGCAGATATATCTGTGCCAAATAAGGCCTTAAGAGCTTTGTATATATTCAAAGAAATTTTTATTTTGTTACTGGGAAAACTGAATATAAAAGTAACTAAAACTAAATACTGCAGAAAATATCTCACCTTATAATTTGTATGTTGTGTATTAAAACCACTTTTTTTTTATCTCAAAAAGATTTAGCTGAGACAGATTCATCCTCTTTTGAAAGATAAATGTTATTTGTAAGTAAGTGTGATGTAAATATGATCTAAATGCAGGAAAACAAGCGAAATTGTGAAAATATTGTCATATTTGTTGCACTGTAACACCACTGAGTCTTTACCATTCCTTACTACCGACTAGAAATAAGCTGCTCACCTTCTTTGTGCTCAGTCTCCTCTCCTGTGGACTCCTCGCTGTAGGTATCGGATCGGGCAGACAGGCTGAGATCAGCGCTAAGTCTCTCCGAGTGGATGCGGTTTTCATACGCGTCTTGATGAGACAGATCAGGGACTTCATGCCCGGTGCAGCTGCTGTGCTTTAGTCCGCACAGCCCCTCTGTACACCTCGCGACAGGCTTTCTCCTGGCATCACTACCGGTGAGGATGTCCTTAATGGAGAAGGACGAAAAACTTAATGTCATGATTAAAATAAACGCACGGTTGGTTCCTGCACTCTGGCGTGCGATTTATTTGGAGGCATCAAGAGGATCATCCACTGGAAAGCAAAAGTCCTTACTGATTCGATCTTTTCACCGCTCTCTTTAATTGCTCTAATTTAATTGTGGTGAGCTAAGTCCGGTCTGCTAATGAACAGTCGACATCAGGACCTGTCAAGTCTATTACAGTATTCTCAGCAGCGGCAGCAGCAGCTCCAGTTAACCTCTGATAGGCTGTTTTCTCTGCCTGGTCCCTCCTTCGCACCGCCCAGATCCAAGCTGGGTGTCTGAGCTCTAATTGAGGACGCCGGACACTGATTTTGCAGAGGAGGTATTTTATCCTGGTGAGGTGTGTTTTATAGCTTACGTTACAAACGCAAGGAATTATTTAAAAAGTGAATAGTTGTATAGCTCACTTTGTCAGAGCCTGTTTTTGAGGAGACCAGGAGAGAAATTAGACCCTGTTGAGCATTGTTCAAACACTACCGTGAATATTAGACGTGAGGTAGAGACTCAGAGTGGAAGTTGTCAACTATTCTTGCAAAATGGAGAAGTTTCAACCATTGTGTGTTTATAAAATATTCATTATATTTCAATTGTTGCAAGAAAATCTGATGCGTAAAGTTTGCCACGCGTGCGTAAAACGAGGCTCAGTGCAAGCTTTTACATGTGAGAACGTGGTTTTAAATGCTTCAACAATACTGCAACCCACTTTTGTATATGTGGTACAACTATTCATATAAAACTTTGATTTTAACGTCCATTTAATTTTACAGTACTCTGACAGGACCATTCTAATTTGAAATGGCTAGATTTGCTTCAATTCATTATTTAATATGAACAGGTTTTATCGTGTAAATCTTCATAATTGTCAGTTTTGTGCAGTTCTATGTTACGCATACAATTGTGGATTTCTGTAAATGTTAAAGTTGTGATTTTTTTAATATAGTAGATTTTCGAGACCATGCTACCTTTAACCATAATGTTTGTTAACAAAACCCATGACGGACATTTCCCTGAATAACTGAGTTTGACCATAGACAGAATAGTTTATTGTGAAGAGGGACTGTTGCTAAAACTGGTCAGTAGCGCCGCCGTGTGGTCTTGATGCACGTTTCCAAAGTTAAGAGGTTTTCTCCGCTCTCTCTCGAGGTTTCTTTCTGTCTCTCTCTCTCTCTCCCTTCACTCACTCTCACACTCAACACATGCGTTGCACAATCATCAGGCCTACCTTTCATTGAGAAGACGTGATGACAGATGCAGTGATCTACCTCCTCTCTGCTGTTTTGTGTTCTTCCTCTGACTAAACAGAAAAATCTCTCTCTGTGCCACAGAGCGTAAATCAGCTCCAGGGTGTCAAAACATGTCCGAATGGGAAACATGGAAGTTCTGGCACGCTTACATGTGTTCAAACCACGAGATGTCATCACCACAATTACAAAATGTAGCGTTTTAATTCAGCAAAACCATGTGGGAACATAGGCACATTACTGGTATACTAGTATTTTCTGAGTAAACCAGCCTTTTCATTCATTCATTCACTCATAGTTATCAGGAAAATGTCTGCGCCCAGATGCACTCGTATTTTAAACCTCCCTGTCATTTGCCTGCTAAGTAGTTTTCTCCCGAACACGCACGAACAGCTTCTGGATCAGTCCTCTTAACCGACTGAAACTCTGCATGTGCGTCCACTGAATCTGAAAATATATTGCGATTTGGATCATGAGAGGCAAGAATTTCTTTTCTGTTGCATACAAAAGAAAAATTATGTTTAAATCTTTGTGTGAAAGTGATGCATCAACTGGCAAGTCAAGTCAAGTCGAGCCAATTTCATGTATACAGCGCAAAACCACCAGTAAGTGGTTTTGTAGTCACATGCACACGTTTTAAAAGAAGCATAATTAAAATTACTTTTTGCATAACGTTACACTGAATTATCCTGTGATTATATACAAGCTACATTTTTAGATAATTTGACTATAGGCCTGACAAACCTTACCATATCTATTTGATGGCATGCTGGCTGCCTGGGCGTGCACTTAAAGGGCCACCTAATGGGAAAGCTTTTACTCCAGCTTCTCCGCGCACTTTTTCGTCTCTATATTTGGGCCCTGGAGCTTTTGTGAGCTCCTTGAGTAGTTGCCATTGGAGACTTTGTTTTGGGAAACTCCACGCCTTGCGCAGCGATGAGCCGAGCTGCTATCTTTGGAAGCGCAAGATAGCGATCGCTGCGCCTGTCAGAGCAGCCGTGGCCAGGGCCGCGTCCTCAGGCATCGCCGCTCTGTCGCCAGCTCTATTTACACAAGTGACTCTGCAGCACTTAGAGCTGACACCAGGTATGTCCTACCGGCAGTGCAGTAGCCAGGGGAAGTGGCCAGTGAGGCTATCAGAGGAGACAAACACTCTGTTTACGTTGCCATTCATCTCCATTAATAGTGTCTGCCTATTCGACCATGCCCGGGAGGTGAAGGTGTTTGTTTAAGTCCAATCAACGGTGTGTGTGTGTGTGTGAGAGAGAGAGAAGAGCAGAGAAGAGAGATGACGACAACACACATACGGGTAATTAATTAGCATGATTCTGCATATAATCAGTTAAAAAATCGAGTGAGGTCCGATTGTTAAGAAAAAAAACATTGTATTCATTATTTATTATACTGCAATATAGATGATGATATTATCTCAATTTGTAGCGATCAGCTTTTTTTTTAAAATATAATTGTGGGAATTATTATGTTTTCAGGTCATGCACATCGACCAGGAGACAAATTTCCAACAATATTTATCATCCAAAGCTGTGTGAGTTTATTCGCTCTGTGGGTCCCGAGGATGCTGGCTGTCTGGTTAATGTCCATCTCTGAATCCTGACCGGACATTAGCTCGCCTCTAAATTCTCTCTCGTTTCTGGTTCTTGTCTCAACCAAAGTCTAACCATTCGCTTTCTCACAGGAAGCCAAAATGCCTTGCTTGCCTTGAGAAAAACGATTTGAGACGATGAGAAACTACGCGTATATGAATAGACTTAACATTCATTTATTTGAGCTTCCTGTCCAGATTTATATAAATGCTGAGATACATTAACACGTGCTTCCAAACAAGGGCAGAAACGTCCCACTGGGCATAAAAACGTACATTTTTACATTAATGTATACTGTATTTGTTTAGGTTCCCGTATGTGATTCAACAAACCAACACACACACACACACACACAGAACTGTCATTTGTGTCATTCAGATTTTTTATATCATTTAATTTCATGATCAGCGATCATTTTCATCCATACTGTAACTAAAAACAGCCCCTTTACACAAAAGCGCCCGTTTTATTCAGTTCATATAGGCTGCTATTCAATCTGCCAGTTAGTTTTAAAGTAGTAAAAACAAAGGCTACTGGCCACAGGTCACACTATTAAAAAGAAAACAAAGCATAATACTTTATAAAAATGCATTATCTAGCAATTGTGGTCCATGTTGTTATTTACTAATTCAATGGGTTATACCTTCAACACAGAAACGTGTGTTTGTATGAAAATGTCCATACAAATTCCCTTTATTTTTGTCGCACATTACATCCATTTTGAACCACAATAGGCCACATTACGCACAGTCTTTAATCGGCAACATTCAATCCAACAGCAGGTTTAATACGTTTTTAGACAATGTGGCTCAGAGAAAAATGCGCATACATATGGTTTGTTTCTCAGTCAACGGGTTAGGGTTTCCTCATAGGCCTGCCTTGAGTTAGGCAAACTGTCCTACACGTGTTGGAGAGTTTTAAATTGTGCTTTCGCTGCATTAGTAGATCAGGTTGCATGCTTGATTCATCCATTCCAGAGAAGTCACTCCCAGCTGTGTTTGTGCGTAAAGGACTACCGCTACCATGCCCGGATGCCCTGCAGAGTTCCTTGGCACGGTGTGACGACTGGGCCTTGGGGCGCCTGGTTTTGCGTCTGTGCACCAAGGTTTCCCAAATTCATGTTCATAAAAGCGTTAGCAGCGGTGCTGCTGGGCGTAAGAGCAGGTAAACTAGAATAAGTACAAGAGTAAGTGTTACTGTACACAGAGTTGTTGTAGCTGTAGGCCGGATAGCCATTGTAGCTGTACGGGTTTGGAGCTCCGACTGTGTAAGAGGTGTTATAGTTCTGGGATCCAGTCAGACAAGGCCTCCCGTCCCGGACCAGCACCGGCACTGCCACCCTCCTGGGCGGCGGTGGAGGGTGGTGGTGGTGATGGTGATGACCTGCCATCTCCAGAGTCTTGTCCTGCCGCTGCCTCTTGCATTTGTACCTCCTGTTCTGGAACCAGATCTTGACCTGGGTGGAGGTGAGTTTCAGGGAGCTGGCCAGGTGCTCTCTCTCCGGGGCGGACAGGTAACGCTGCTGCTTGAAGCGCCGCTCCAGCTCAAACACCTGAGCCTGGGAGAAGAGGACGCGGGGTTTCCTCCTGGTCCTCTGCTGCTTGGTGGCGGGTTTCTCCGAGTCTGGATCCTCACAGTCACCGCGTAACGCGCCGCAGCTCTCTGCATGGAGGAGAAACGTTTAACTGTACATCAAAGCTGAAACAAGACGTGTTAATTATGTAATATTTTGTAATATTGATCCCACACTCCACGATTTCCGAAGCTCATCACACACATATTCATTTATTATTTTTTATTATTTAAAATTCTAATTTCCTTAAAAAGTTCTATTAAACAGTATTTCCATAGAAAATAGTTTTGTTGCGGATGTTTAAAAAATATCTCTATAATTTACATTACCTTACCTTTAAATATTATATAATATAATCTTTTAAAAACCTTTTAAAAGGCGAAAAGGTGAAGGTTTACTGGATTGGAAATTGCTTCATCTGTATTTTTACCAGTGTTTATTGGGAAATAAACCAAAAGTTGGTTTCAAAGAGGAATTAATGAAAATAATGAGAACTTATTCATTAATAATTTTTCAATTAATCTGCGAATTTAAACTAACCAATGCTTAGATCTTGGAAATTAAAGTCGAAGGTAAATATGTTTTCTATTAAAATATCTACCGATTTCTGGGATCATTAAATGCACATTCATTTAGCTAAAAAGTGTGGTGCTTTTGTACATTTCTATTCAGTGATTTTTGTGGCTTGTTCGAAATATATAAATCAGCTGTAAACAACACTTAAATGTCTGCAAGCTTCATGCACAGGAATTAAGTAGCTGCCAACTAAGGAATAGAGCAATACTCATTTTTTTGTGGGCATTTATTGTGCAAGGTTTGGCACTTTCTATCGTGTTTTAGTTCTAAATTATAGTATCATTACATTTATATATATTATATTTTATATTATTAGCAAAAATCATTCCAGCAGAGCGTTGAGGATCTCTGTGCATTTAGTGATAGTCTCTATAGTCATTTATGCATCAATCAACACATGATATGTTGTCAGTTTGCAGTAATTATTTCTCCAGAAATATTTATCAAAGCCAGCTTAGCAAATGTGATTTATTTTTTAGGCAAATAATAATTTACTCCTCTAATGTCTCTCCCTATTATACAATTACCAATAAAAACGACAGCTATCATCATCATCACTTTTCCATGAGCATGTTAGACTGAGTACTCACTGCTATCTTGGTCCTCCTGCTCGGTCTCCAGCCGGAGGTCTGCAGAGTGGTTCTGCGCCGGGTTGCCAAACATCTCCATCGGCAGGCCGGACTCTGCCAGCCGGTCCTGTACAGTCAGCGTGTTGAGGTACGACATCCTCTCCTCGCTCTCCGAGACGCCGGAGCTGATCGGACTTGGACTGTCCCTACCGGCCAACATGCAGGAGGGCGGAGAATGCGAACGGAAGGGTTTATTTGGGAAAGCTCCCGGCTGTGACAGCCCGCCAGACAAACCGAAGCAGGAGATAAACTGGAGCTGGTGCTGCTGAGATTGTTGCTGCAACTCTAACTTCAGAATGTCCTTCACAGAAAAAGGCGTGGTGGAAGAAGTTATGATCGGGCTGGGAAGCATTATTACCACCAACGGAGAGATGACAGATAACAAATAGTCAACAGGCCCAAAACTGGATCAATTTGTCTCCAGACGGCGCGTAAAAGAAGTAAATACCCGGTGCGTAAGCGTGAAGAATGGTCGCGCACTGCTTGTTTTTCATGCAGAGCGAGGAGGACTGGCTTTCTTTCAGCTGTGACATCCCTCTCCTTTGGCTGGAGGGCTGAGAGAGAAAGAGAGAGGTCGATCCTGTTTGGTTGGCTGAATTCAGTTATCTAGAGAAAGAGCTGGGTCAGCCAAGACACTGTCCTCTCCCTTTCAGTGACGTCCCGTGGCAGGGGGTGGGACTGATAGAGCCAGCCTCTCCCTCTGTAGGTGTGTGTGTATGTATCAGGAAGACATATAGGCATAATTTATGAAATTATATTAGCACCACCGACTCCCCTCAGTCTGTTAAAGGTAAGGCAGCTTTTATGACTTTTTTTTTTTCGGTTCCCAAGACGGAAAAAGCAGCACAAAGACTTTTCATTTTGTATAATTAGAAAGTTTATACAGCAAAACCCTTAATTTGGTGCTGCGCCTGAGTAATTGGTTGAGTTTATCCGGTAATTGAATAGCATTTATTACCGTCTTGTCTCTGCTGAATACTTCACAGTTCTTCCCATCATCACTAGTGGTTTGAAGATTAGGCATATCTTCGTTTCCTGTCTCGGCAATCCATGGATAAGATAATATGTCGCAACTGTGGGAAATGAGATTAAAAAAAAATTGGCAACCCAAGGAGGCATGAAGAATATAAATTTAGAGCTTTGTTGTTTATTTATGTCTCCTTAATTTGAGAAAGTTGTATTTTTTCCACTAAAATTTGGAATAAAAAAAAAACCCCTGGGTAAATATTAAAGACAGTTTGCTCAGTTGAGATTATCAGTTTAATGTACAGCAGTTAATACAAGTAACACATTTTTATGTCCCTACAAAGTGTTTTAATTCTGTTTTTTTTATAAACCCTGTTCGATACTACTACTACTACTACTACTAATAATAATAATATAATAATAATAATAACAACAATCATAATAATAATAATCATAATCATAATGTTGAAAAAAGTTATGTTAAGTTAGCAGAAAAAGCTTTTAACGCATGACTTCGGCAAAAGGCGCAGCAGATTTAATGTTAGCAGATTCCCAGTATTTCCAACATGTTTTGTGTTGTTAATTAATAATAAACAAAAATACATTTAAAAAAAAATACATGTGAAATTTCTCTACCTTGGTACCAAAGGGCAAACATGCTGAAACGGGACACCTCTCTCCTGGTCGCCTATCTGTGGCCAAGTGCAGGCGCCAGGGTCTGAAGGCCCATTGCTTCTAAACCGTGTGGAGAGAAAAGAAGGGCCCGCCGACATAATCTCATCCGCACACCATCAACAAGGCGCTGTTTAGATTAGGGCAGCGTCTTCCCCTCTTCTGGAGATCTATGTCTTTAAAATTGGCCGTTTAAGTGGAGTGGAAAGCAGGGAAAAGTGTACACAAGGCTTTAGCAATTCCAAATGTGCTCCCCCTTAAAATGATTTCAAACGGTCAGTTGAGCAACACCGCTGACACAGCCGTAGTGTTTCTCAAGATTTACTTATAAGGACAGCCGCTGGTCATTTTTTAATTCTGTGGAAGGTAATTTTTTAACAGTTAGGTGGAATTTATGAGGACGTTTAAAAGTGGAATGTATTGTCTCGTAAAAATCCTCCAAAAGCATGTACATCTGCTCAATTTGTTCCCCAAATATTTACCCATTCCTGTTTATTGAGCGCAGTGATTCAGAGACAAACAGACCAAACAGAAATGAGCGTGCCTTGCATAATGAAAAGACCTTTAGGTGCAAATTGTCATTAGTTAATAAGACTAAACTATGAATGTATGAATATGAATGAATATGAATCTGCCAGCAGCCTGCGCTCTCTAAACCCGGTCCTCCCATGTGTGTGAATTCAAAGCGTCACGGGTCATAGACGCAGGTTAGCACGCTAATGGCGCAATTAGCTTTTTCAACCCTAGGCACGCACGCCCACGCGCGCGCGCAACCTCGCTGACCATCACCAGTGGTCCTCGCGTGCCACCGGCAGTCCAAAAGTGGCCACGCAGAGGAGCGTGTTTACGAAGCGGAAGAGTCTGTTTCCTGCCTGTAACAAAACCCAGACTCCCAGAGAAGTGTCAAGGAGCCGCTGGGTGCTGAATGGGAGTCTCCAATACATCATCTTCATTTCAGAATCACCGTGATAAGCTGGGTAAGGTCAGGCCCAGCGGCGGAGGTCAGCACGGATGCGCTGCACAGCTCTAAACATTTGTGTTGGACACAAAACAAAGAGAATTTTTAGAAAGAAGCAACCAACTCAATAGAAGTTTACTTTTAAGTAAAGATTTTCAACCTTTCCTCTCAGTTCACTTTCTGGAGAGTTCTTTAAAGTCGGTGCCTTGCCAGGCAGTGCTGAACATGTTTCTTCTTGTTCCCTTCTTTCTCCCCATATCACTGGCAGGCTAACCTGTCGAAGCAGTGTCTTCTCTGCAGAGTGACAGGTGTATACTCTTATCAGTGCTTTGCAGGCCCATAAAAACCAATCCACTGGCAGGGTTTCTCTAAAGAGAGAAGATCCCTGAGCCCAGAATGGACGTTTGATGACTTGGTAATGACTGCAATTATCTTTCCCACTGTGGTCCCTGCTCCCGTAAAGCCAAGAGGCGATTGGTATCTGATGGTTTTACCGCAGTAGTAAACTGTGTAAAGAAAGCATCAACACCTCTAGTGTGTGTGGGTGCGCTGTACAGGCCTCAAGTAGCATATATGTGTGTGTGTGTGTGTATTGAAAGAGAGGATGTGTGTTATTATGACTTGACAGAGCTTTGCAGAGGGGCACTTAACATCTTTCTACAAAGGAGCTGGTTGTTTACAGGCGTTACTATAACAGCCTAGATGTGTGATGAGGAAACTGAAGTATGACTATCCATTTGTATTACAGTGGTCATGATAAGCCAGTAACAACAATAGATTGTAACATTAGGAAAATAGATTAACTCAAGTGTGTCTGTGCGGTTTTCCATGTTGTGTGTGAGTCCAAATTAGAGATCTGTTAGGGTTGGAAAGCCTTTCCCCTCAGCATCTTTCACATTGCAACATGGAAGTGATGAGGACGCAAAGATTTAAAGTTCTTGGAAACATAGCAGAAAGCGCAGCTACACACAGATTGTGCTAGCCTCATGTAGATCATAATGCACTTTACTTTTTCCTTTTATTTCATGGTCATATGAATGGCATAGGACCAAACTGTTGTGTGTCAGTAATGGCTCAGCTCCTCTGTGTCCCGGAAGGTGAGTCTTATCAGCAGCCCATGTGATGGTGTCAGTAGCCAGGACCCAGACTGTGCTATTGTGCCCCTGCCTGGGCCCGAGTGACGGATGACAGCGCCTTCTCGCTGGAGGAAATGAGGAGGCCAGAGGCGAGCCCAGGGGCCAGATTTTCAGCAAAACCCTGTTCTCACCCACTTACCTTCGGCTACAAAAGTGCCAAATATTCCACAATGGTGGGTCTAAGGTGATGGCTAACTTGCATGTTGCAACAGTCCCTCAGGACTCATTGTGTTAACCAGGTTAGGAAAAGTACCCTAATTAGGTAGTTTGTTTGAAAGAGTGTGAGAGGGTGGTGTGTTTGAGAACCAAACCCCTGTTCTGTGTATCAACGGTCTAACTTGGAGACCATGAAAGTAGGAAGTGAGGTCAGGCCAGTCTGGGTCCCCTGCCCTTTGCCCTCCCTTGGGTGTCATAAATTAGCTTGCAGTAATTCTCTCCCAGACGGCCTTGCCCCAGCAGGTGTGTGTTTGTATATATGAGCGCTAACAGGGGGATGTAAGGGCTGTAATGTCTGTGATCTACGGTGTTGGGAATGTAGTTTGGGAGGAAACATGCAACCTAAATATGCTTATCCTCTCGGGCTGCCACACGGGCCATGTAGATAAAGACACTGCAGGGAGGCGGGTCTTCCAGTGAATAGGATGTGTGGGCCTTGAACGTTCCCTCTGTTCCCTCGCTGCCATATGTTCTGTCCTACTTGGCCCAGAGCTGGTGAAAGAATCAAAAATATCAAAAGGTTGAATCAAGTTCATCTCGCTCTTAGGGGAGCTCAGGCAATAACGACTCTCTTGGGAAAGACAATGTTGCTGTAAAATAAAAGCTTGCATGCATCCTGGCTTCCAGAGGTAAACATCCTTGAGAGAAAATGCTACTGTTTCTCCAGCAACTATGGTGGTATCCTCGTCAAAGTGACAGTTTGTTTTGGCAAAACTCATGACTACTCATGAATAAAGTACATTTTTTGTAAATAATTACTGTAAAAAATACTGAGCGATGCAGTTTCAAAATCCTGTCTTGCTGTTGATGACGCTGGCTGTTGGTAGTAGCTGTAGCTCAAACTGAACGTACAGAACATGGAGACTCTCCTTTAACCCAATGACTTTGATCCAAGTCCCGGTGTTAGCAGGCATCCTTCCCCATAGAAATATTGAGTCCCTGTGCTGTAGCTGAACCTGACCCCTGACTCCCTCTCTGTAAATGCCAGAATGAAATCAGATGTTGTCCCCATGTGGATTAATAAAATATCCCATCATTATTAGAGATTATGACAGACCTAGTCAGGTTTCTCATCACTTATTATTTTTGTGGCAGTTTGCTTTATGCGGGCAAAAAATAAGCAGTCAGGGTAAAAATTCAGACATGAGTCTTCCACTTCCTGTCTTTGTTTCTTTGCATGCATATTTGTATAAAGCTGAGGTCTGGAGAGGCTGAGTTGGCCAAAAGACAACATCAATCAATTAGAAAAGCACACTGTAGACCTTGTGTATGAGGTTCCACCCAGCCGTTTGGGTTAAAGGTCATATCGGTGAAAAGCAGTGAGTGATAAGCATATTAGCAGACCTTTATAGATATTACAATACTCGTCAAAATTGATGATCAAAGTCAAATCTCAGATCAAAGATGTGATTTGTGTATGAGTCGGCAAGATGAAGCAGACATTTTACAGTTTATTTCTGTTCTGTAGTTTTACTTTGTAACAAGATAGATTCTATAAATTGAGTTTTTGATTATTATTTAAAGGAACTGTTCAACATTTTGGGGAATTGCTGATTCGCTCTTGTGCCAAAAGTTAGATGAGAGGATTGTTACTGTGTTTTATGTCTGTATGATACACAA